AGAACTTATAGCAAGCACCGATGTTTTTTAAAAAATTCCAGGGAACTTCTAAGAAATTTAGATATTTTTAGATTGTTTCATTATATTCAGTGAAGTTCCGAGTACTTCGAGGACGATCAGATAACATCAGAAAAATCCCTTTAACTTAAGGAAATTTGTAGCGACTTACAAAGAGTTCATTAGAATTATGGGATATTCCGTGAATTCTATGATTAATCACAAAACTTAAGAAGCTTCAGGGAATTATAAATATATATCAGAAAATTTACCGGAACATTTGATCAATTTAGAGAAATTAAGCAATCATAGAAAACTTCTTGCAGGGTAAATTAGTGATTTAAGGCAAAGCTCCGTGACCGTTTATAAGCTTTATAAAACTTAAGGAAAATTGTATAACTTGAGGGCAATTAAATCAATTCCAGTAAAATGGTGGATTCTTTAAAAAAAAAAAAAAAACCAAGGCAGGCAGTCAAGAGAATTTTATGGAAATTGAGAAATATGTTGGGCAGTTTTAAAAACATCAGGAAACTCTAGACCAAGAAGTTAAGAAGAAGCTATGAATTAGTGTCCATAATTTGAACTTCAGACAAATCCTGAGAACTTCAGTGAAAATTTTAGAACTATTTTAATTATTTCACTGCGGAAGCCTAAAGAGGTTCCTGAAATTTCAGAATAACTTCGAAAACTTCACAGAAGTACAGAGATCTTCAGAAACATTTCGAGAACTTTATAAAAGTCTCGGAAAGATCCGAAAATTTCAGGAACTTTTATGGACATTTCGGGAGCGTCTCAAATAAGTTTAGTAAAGCCCCAAAAACAAAGGGAATTTCAGGAGAATTCAGTTCCATTAGTTTCCTAAATTAGCGGGAAATTTCAAGAAGTTCCCAGATTTTCAGAAAACTTTAGAGATGTTAAGAAAATTATTGTGGTTTTCACATAAGTCCAAAAGTTCACGCAAGCTTAAACATTTTTAGAACAGTTCAATTAAATTCATTGTAATACAACAAGCTTCATGAGAACTGCAAACTATTTCGAGAAGTTTCGAGAACTTCGAGAAAGATATTGATCTCGCTAATAAAGCTCTAAACAAAAAAAAAACTTCAAGAAAGAGCACAGATATTCCAGAGCAGGGAAATTACATCAATTTTAAAAAAAAAAGTTTCGAGAAATTCAATGAATTTTTAAAACTTTAGAGAAGATTCATGATCGTTAAGAAAATTGTGGAAACTTTAGGAAGTCCGAAAAAGTTTAGAGAAGTTAAAAAAATGATGAGAAGTAATGCGAGTATCAGGCTAGTTTCTCAAACTACAAAAGAACTTCAAGGCAGCTTAATTAAATTCAGAAATATTTTGGGAACTTTCAAGTAGTTATGAAGACCTTAGAATAGTCCATTCCATATTCAACGGAGATTTCTCATTAAAATTCGCTTGGAGTTTACTATCCTAGGCTTAGGCTTCACATGAAGTCTTAAATTCCTCAGAAGTACCATGAAAGCAGATTGCAGTTGATTTTTTCCTCATTTTCCTTAGAAATTATAATAAAATTCAATGAGCCTTAAAACTGAGCAAGGAATTTGAATACAGATTTTTTTTAATTTCTTGAAGAATTGGCCACTTCCTCGGGGGCACCGGATCATTTCCGGGATGCCCAATGTGACCGTGGACGGTCGGCATAGCTGCCATTTGTCCAATTACATCATTTGAGAGAAGAAAAAAACATGATGTTCATCGTGTGTATACTTATTACAGAACAGTAATGCCGAATGCCGACCAAAAGTGACCCCAACGGAAACCGGAATAACTCCAGAACCATGTATTAATCCAAATGTTTCCAGATGGATTCAAAAATTTCAATAGATTCCCGGCAAAATGCGACATGGTGTGAAGAAAAAGATTGAGAAATTATGTTTTTAGAGCTAATTGAATTTTGAAATCTATGCAAATTTAGACGTTAGGCAGTTATAGCTTATTTCGAACTTTACAAAATATTGGCTCATTCAAGCAATTGTAATCAAATAATGAGAAAGGCATGACTGAGTTCTCATCTTTGCTCTGGAAAAAAACCGCCAATTTGTGAGGTTTTGAGAGGATGTAAACAAAGGTATGAAAATTAATATTTGTCAAGTAAAATAACTTGAAAATTGAAAGTGATTGACTCCGCACCACTCAGTTTTAAAGTAGTTATAATTTGGATTTCTTAAGTTTTCTGAATATTTTTCAACAGACTTGCTTCAAAACTAGCTTGATAACTGTGAGCCAATTCTCATTCTTCAACATTACTACAGAGTAGATACACCCAACAACCATTGCAAGCTAAATTAGACCTTGTTCAGGCAAACATATGCTTCTTCAGCTTAAAAATGGCTTATTCAGCTTTTAATCAGCTCAAATTGTTTGTTGGGCAGTGCTTCTACCAGGCATTCCTAAAGCTCCATCAAGAGTCATAAATAAGCTGAGCTCCAGCATATTTTGATGATGATATATTTGGCTCTCACGGAGTTATACTTCATGCTCAAGCTGGACTCTTGCCAACCTGCATCGCTGAGAAGGATGCGGAGCTCGTCCTCGGGTGTACATCGACTTGCGTACCGAGCAGAAATTTTAACTTTGTGATGCGCTCGCGCAGTAAACTTGGAGCTTCGTGATGAATTCGTAGAGAGCTTGGCTCTGATGGCATGAATGAGTGATTTTGTATTGTATTCGGGAAAAAAGTGCACAACCAAGAAATTAAAAAAAAAATGAAACGTATGCATGTATTCCGTAACTCCTAAGTGTGCAATTGTATTCGTAGGGTAACTGTCTATATTCTCGGCAAACGCTCCTATTTTAGGCAAATCAGAATAGCTCTCGTGTGTGTAAACTGAATCACGATTTCGGCATTTCAACTGTCTCGTCATCGTATAGCGGATCATTTCTTGTGTTGAAAACTAAAATCGCAGTTGAGATTAGAGAGATATTGGACTATGCCGGTAGAGTCGGTAGACGTAGAGTCAGAGATAGAAACTTCTACGCGTTCTATCATGTATGAGTTGCACATTGCAAATGTAATGCTATGCTGAATTTTTAAGCAGAGTAAATACATTTTTTCACCAGCGGATTATTTAAAATGTTAATTGACGAACGCGTAATAATTATACTACCTATAATTATCACGCGTTCATTGAATAACGTTTCAATTGAGATTGATTTAAATTTCTTTTCAAATTGAAGTTTGAAATTTTTTTCTCACAAGATTTATACTTTAATTTACCATCTGCTGAATCTTCTAACTTACTGAAGAACAGAGCCGTACCAAAATTAGATTTGTGTTTCTGCGACATCTTGCAACCAACTGAAGGTTATGAATCAATCGATTCAGACTCCACCTGATTTAAACAATTGAAATAGGCGGAACAACCAATTCCTCGAAAAACAAAGCACATCCAAACAATCTAACACCATCATCTGATAGAGCAAACTTCCTTTATCGAATGGCAATTTCAGTTTACGTGGTAGTGTTTTGATTCTCGAGAATTTTGTGTTTAGAGCCATTGCTTACGTTGGGTTATTCCGCCTATTTTGGTCCAGAACGATTTCCGAGCTACCGTGTGTGCAGCGAGGGTAGCAAATTGAATGAATGAACATGTTAAAAGGCAACAGGAAAAGGGATAATCCATAAACGAAATAATTAGTGCTTTTACTAGTTTTTCCCTCGTACATTCTAAGTCAGAAATATAACTCATAAAGCACTTAGTGGGAAAAAACGATCAAAGATTTTTGTGACTGAATTTGAGTAACCCCAAAAGTGGTCCCCAAGTTAAAAAAAACACCAGTCTCTCAAAATGTTACGTTCTCTGGGGATGGTCCTATAGTCCATTGAATTTATTGTTGTGTATCATAATATTGAATGGAAGAACCGTGCATCAATCAAAGGCCGTGCGTGCTCTCTCCGAATGCATAACGAAGCTCACCGTTTCACCGAGTCCATCCCGAAGTTCAAAATGTTGTTTGGTAAGCAGAGCCGATGTAAATCACTCCTCACCCAAGAACGAACCCCGTAACACTCATCGTGATGCGTGTTTGTCGAAGTCCAGCTTGAGCATCAATCTGAGCTCGAGCTCTTTTGCGCTCTTTGGATTTGACATCATTGCTATTTATATGTGAGGGATGGGCTAGCTCACGATGAATGAGCAACTATACGGCATAATCTGAGTTCGAGGAGTTTAGGCAAACCTGCTTTCTACACATAATTTGAGATCGCTGGGACAAACTATCATCATATTCCTCAACTCTTTTTTAACATGCGATGTTCACTTTTCATGACGATGTAGTACGATTCGTCGAATAAAAGAATCGTCATTTTAATTTTTTAAAATCAGTTATTTTCCCGATGAAACATCAAAACTTCTTCCGTCGCATTAGATGCTAAAAAGTAGCTTCTTTCTCCACACTGTGTGTCAAAAACAGGACATTTTACCTTGTTTTGGTTGACTTTTTTTTCTCAAAGCACGAACAATTTATCGTCAATGATGACATTCTATAAGCTACGACCAACAAAAAGCCATGAGAATTAAAACATTTGGATCACCCTTTCCCCTTTCGCAACGAACCGGTCCGGCACAACTTAACCCTCACACGCATCGGATTCCCCACGCATCGCCATATTGCCGCCAAGTTTCGGGTTTGCTTTCCCTTACTTTGTTTTTGACCAATAACAATAAAAGATAATTCTAATCTCTCTTTTTGATATTCTAGCTGCTCAAAAAAAGATACCATTTTGACCGTAGTAGACTAACGCATAGAAATCTGTTTTTATCTTCCTCTCTTTTTGGGCCGGGTCTTACCACCCGCATCCTTCTAAAAAAAAATCCGACACCGATCATCGCCCTAACGCTCTCACCCATACCAAACATGCCGTGTTGTGTTACTAACATCATCTAAAATCAACCCTCGCGCGCCTTGTTGGTTGGCTCGCGCGGTTTGGCCCGGGGGCGGAACACCATTCTTCCCTAATACATGTAGGTGTGGATGTGCGGTGGCACTCTGGAAATAGCACCCTGTTCCCGGGTAGGCCACGTTTTCCGCAAATCAACGCCGTACTCCTTCCCGGGCGGTACATCGCAGATCGTTAACAAAAATAACGCCCGTCTGGCGGAAGTGTGGCTCGACGGTTGGAGTGAATTTTACTACAATATTAACCCAGGTCTAGATGATAGTACTTTTTTTTCCTACGTAGTAGACAAAAATCATTGGTTTTGCTTTGTGGTTTGCTTTTAGATTTAGTCTCCTGTTTCCCCTATACATGGTGCATGTTTTGTGTTTGCTTCTGTACTTTTGACTTTTCCGGTAATCCGCTTTTGGGAATATTGCTTTATGCGAAGGCATTATTCACATCAGACCACCACCACCACCACCACCATCCGGAGCCACTCGTCTGAGTATCGTTGTAAAATATCGCTCCTCAAAGTTCAATATAAATACAAATTCAACTACACCCCTTCCCAAGCATCCAACTTCACAAACAACAAATCCCTTGGAATCCTTGCATCGATCCTCATACTCTGGTGAATGATGACTTTCAATACGGTTCGTTACACATTGGGGCGGGATTTATGTGTGCACTCTATTCATATTTTCGGGGGACAAATGCTGCATGGTTGGGTGAATTTGTTTTGGCATCGAGATTGCTGGTGGATTCGGTTGAACAGAAATGTGGTTTCATAAACCTGTGGTGCATCGGTAGAAAAATATACATCAAAATCAAAAATGAATTAATCTCATGATAACAGCTGCATGTATACAACTTTCCTTTCTCTGGTTTTGTTTACTCACATATGGAGAATAAAAAATCCTAGCGGAAAAAAATATTTGAATAACCCACTACTCACCCACTCTACTGAATATGGACTGTTTGCACCGACGGAGACTGCACTCGAAAAATCGCATACACGTACTCGTACACATATATCGAAGGACATTTCACGTTTTCACTTTTAGTCGCACGGATTTTACTTAGTTTATTTTTCAAATAAGTTTTGTTTTTTTTTTTCTTTCTAGCACAAGCATTCAATTCAATTCAAAGTAATAATTTATTTCAGTGCACTCCATGAATACAAAAACACAACTATGGCGACTGTTTGAATGAATGGTTTGTTTCATAAAATGGGAAATATGTTTCGTAAAATTTAATTTAGGTTTAGGCCATAACTTTTTGCATTTACATGAACCATTTTATCTCCTTTTATTTATAAATCAAATAGCCATTTTTATAGATCAACCCGAAAATATTGATGTATCAATCAGGCTGTTAAGTTTCAGCTTTTTATCTGCATCAATAGAACATTTTCACTTAAGTTAAGGATCTTTGCATTTTTTTTAGGATTTCAGGTAATTATGCATTTTTTTAGGATTATGATCATTAATTATTGACTGTCTATTATACTCAAATTGGGTCTATAAATGGATGCAACTTCGTCCTATCGAAGATGAACTTCGATCTGCAAAAGTTCGGCGTGTTAAATCGCGCTTCTTTTTCGCTCCTTATCGTTCATACACCGAAGTAAAAAAATCACCCAAATTAGAGTTATTTTGACTCATTTTTGGGTAAACATAAAAAAAACCTAATTTTGGGTAAATGATCGAAAAGACTGCAGTGGGTATATTTGATCAATAAGAAAAACCTATTTTAGTGTAAAATTAACCCAACGGTAGGGTTGAGCGCTACTTCGTCGTAATCGTCCATTTCCGCAATCGTTCCATAGAGCAGAAAACATCAGTATAATCAATGATTTCACCGTGCACAAATCAGTAATACGTTTGTACCGGTGCGTTAGTTCACAAGCTACAACACAAAGCCTAGTAGAGCGTATTGTGTGAATATTTACACGCATTGTTCTAAAAAAAAAAAGAAGCGCTCCTAGCAAACATGCTTTTTCTACCTTCATCCGTAAGACGAAGAAAATCCAATGGCGTTGCAATGCGTTTGGACGGAATTGAAACTCGTAGGACGAATTTGGAATCAAGAAGCAGTGTTAGATTTTTAACAATATCTCAACAATGTGTGGCTCTTTATCAAATTCAACGGTATTTAATGAAAGGGGAATACATTTAGAACTCATCTTTGATAGAAATATTTCATTTATTGTTAAAACCCGTTCAAGAAAGAGGGGTAAAGCATGGGTTGTCCTTAGTAGGACGGAAATTAGATCAAAAACCCTAGGTAATTTTACCGGAAAACAAATGATTAAAGAAAAGGGACGTTCGCAGTATAACGAGCACGTAATTATTCCGAATGCTAAAAATAAAGAACAATAAAATCCGTGAAGACAACAACAAATTTATTATCATGCATTTGTCAACAATTTTTTTTCCAAAATTAGCTACACGGAACTTTTTAAGACCTGGAAAATCGATTTTTTTTTCTCATTCATTGAACGCTACTACCGCTCTGTTGCTTCTACGGCACACCGGGGTCACCAGAAAGAACCAGATCAACAGTTGTGGTGGAAGCTGCAAGTACTGGATATCTGAAAAAAAAGAATGCGAAGGAAACGAAATTAATTATTGATGTGCTGCTTCACTGATGCTTTGGATTCGCGACTCACCAGGCTACGTCACTGTAAGGCAATACACGTAGAGTTCGGAATCGAGCAACCGATGGCCTCGAAGGAACCGGCTCACGGGGGAATAACGGAACAGATGGCGTTAGAAAAACTTCCGGCATCGAACGCGGTGAACTTCATTCGAAGGGAGCAAAATCACAAATGGCGTTGTCGTGGAAGTAAAATACACTGGCATTTTATTTTCATTCAACGCAAGCTTTATATTAAGTTACTCAGCGTTGAGTAAATTTAGGGCCACAAATTTTCCGTTTTGGTTTTACTCATCTTTAGGTAATATACGTATTACTCAACCGGTGAGTTAAAATTAACCATCATAACACATTGATTTTTACCCAATGAGATACTACAAGGGTTTTACTTAATTTTGGGTTGTTTGAACTCAAGCTTTGGGTAATTTTCATTTTCTGTGATACGTAACCACATTGTTGACGTCACTTTCACTTCTCGCGTAAGAACTGATGAGGATGAAATAGTGTTTTCTTTCCGGTTGATCCAGAAATCATGATGCTTTTAGAAGCCAATAAAAGCCAAATAAATCATCTCATGACTCAAGAGCAAATTTTCATTATGTCGAAAGTAACTTTTGCACCGATCCGAGAAAAATATAGTTTTGTTTTGATGGCCGAAAAGTTATTCCTATTTCCAATTAAACACATATAATCTCATAGTGATAGCATTGTTCAACATATTAAGCAGGGTTTTAATCGTACAAAGTACTTTGACTATATGTTTAGTATTACTTCTGCGTGATGTCAACGACTTACATAGTTGAAGATGCTAATTTCAAATAACAGACTAAAGTGGTAATTTTTATACGATAGATGAGGAGATGAAAGCATAGAATTGATAGTTCCGTTAAAGTACGGCAGTGTGAAAATTGCATATAGAGAGTAGAAAGTGAGCAAGGACAACTTTAGGAAGGTACAAATCGGTTTGATCATCTCTCTTTACCAAACTCCCCCGTTGGAGAGGGATGGTGAGGGGTATTCCCCCCGCCACAACTGGCAAACCACTTTAGTCTGTTATTTGAAATTAGCATCTTCAACTATGTAATTCGTTGGCTTCACGCAGAAGTAATACTAAATATATAGTCAAAGTACATAACTCTGGATGGTAGCATACCATCAATTACTGTCATTGGTCGAAAGGTACAGTAGCAGCACCTACACTACCCGTGTCCCTCGAGATCTTCAAGTCGACGATGACAGGAGCACATACCGTGGTAGAGGTAACAATAGCTGCAATTTTCAAACCTACGACTGGATGCCTTCCTTCATAAAACAACTTAAGTGCGGTAAAAATCGATAGAACTGTTTCAAACACATCGTCGGGACTTGAGCGTGTCGGTGATCATCTCTTTTTGCCAGTGGTGGTGGAGGGGAATACCCCTCACCATCCCTCTCCAACGGGGGAGTTTGGTAAAGAGAGAAACCGATTTTTACCTTCCTAAAGATGTCCTTGCTCGCTTTCTACTTTCTATATGCTATTTGCACACTGCCGTACTCTAACAGAACTATCAATTCTATGCTTTCATCTCCTCATCTATCGTATAAAAATTACCACTTTAGTCTGTTATTTGAAATTAGCATCTTCAACTACATACAAAGCAGATCGCTAGCTTTCATGCTAAAAAATACTGATTTTTGAGTCAAAAGTTAGTATACGTCGTTTGGTGGCCCTATAATGTTACTTAAGTCAAACTGTATTTACCAGAATATTCGGGAGATTTATCAATCACGGCTCCTTACGTGCAGCCCATTCATCATTTTAGGACCACCGAAATCATCTTAGCAACAAACAGTTCGATTTATTCACTTTAATAATCAGAAAGCGAAACGACGAATGTACACTTTTAACGGGCTTCTCTGCTCTGCTAGCCAACTTTGGCATGTTGCAACTATGTTTTCTTATGATCAATTGAGCTGAAATTTTGACACAGAACTGCAAGTATGCTGAATTTTGCTTGTACGTAATATCAAATTATTGAAAGCGCTTGCCGGAAATTGACGGGCTGATTGAAAATGGCCAATAAAAAAGCACATTTATAATTCGAAATTTCCGAAGTGTTATAGTTTTAATATTTTCAACCATATTGCCAATAAACGAAAGCGTGCTTAAGAAAGTTATTTACGATATGGTCAAAAATTTACGAAATTTACGTCACTATACCCCAAAATATAGTTTCCATACAACAGTTCTAGAAATTGTTTTTATAATGTGGCTACTTTATCGATCAATCCAGATTATCCGAAGAACCAGGATATGGCCACTTTACACCAAAATTTAAATTATTTTATTAAATTCGTTTTGATCTCATGATTCTGAACAAACATAAAAAAATCGCAAGGTTCTAGGACAATTTTTATAATGTGACCACTTTATCGGTTAAATCCAGATTATCCGGAGAACCAGAATATGGTTACTATACCCCAAAATATAGTTTCCATATTAAATACGCTTTGATCACTTGATTCTGAACAACATAGAAAAAATCACAAGGTTCTAGGACATTTTTTATAATGTGGCCACTTTATCGGTCGTTCCGGATCCTCCTTTAGGCCAGTAAAGTTTTCACTGAGGG